ACAGTTATTCATGGGACATCCACATTCTACATTATGGCACTCTGGAAGAACTATTAACATAAATTCAGGCCAGAAGAACTAAATGCCTAACAAAGGAGGACTTCCATAACATGCCAAAAGCACCTTACAGAACTACTGCTAAACCTCGGTGTAAGAGTGTAACTCAGGGTAAGAACACACTAATAAATGAAATCAATCTATTAAAGGCACAAAACTTCTTCCACCACTCCATATGCTTTTGATCTAAAACGTGTACACATTTAAGTGTTCGGTTTAAAGTTTCCTCAAAAAAACATGGCTAAGTGCTGCAATAATACGCAGAAATTTTCCCTTCTGATTCACTGCATAAAGAATATACAAGAACTGACCAAGCAAATGCATTCCTAAATCTCTGCAGCATCTTTTAGTACACTGGCAACTCAGCTTTCTAACACTTGTAATGAGACTGAAATTTCTGTGTTAAGAACAAGGTTCCATGCTGATATAAAACTTCTACAGTTAAAGCAATTTTCACTTAATGAAGATCCATTTCCAATGATAATTTCAAGAAGTCCCGCTCTTTAAGCCATTTGAAAATAATAAAGCTAAGTATGTTCATTGTTTTGCAGGCTGTATTAGGAAGAGCTTGCCCAACATCCGTCACAGGGTTTCAGACAAAATCTACCAAAGTTTTGTTCTGACAAAGCTTATGCGTTATAACATTTCTGAGTTGCTGTGGGTATTCTCTAACTGTATTGTGTTTAACTGGAAAAGTTAAATGGCAATATGTTAATTACTCATTTTTGTCTATGCAGTAGATGAATCTTTGCAACACTTGCTGCTATTAAGATTGCAAGTTTATCCTGATGAATACAGTATCCCAGTTATTGCAATATTACTGAACAGTTAAGTACTCAATGAGAACCATTACCTTTTTTTTTTTTATAGTAAAGCTGAATTTTTGATTTCAAAGAAGGCGGCAAGGGCAAGTCCTCTTACTGGATGATCCAAAGATTTCAGATACATGTTTGAATAGCTGGTATTTCAGCTACAGCTTTGAACCAGATCTAAGGAAAGCATTAAAAAAGAAACTTTGCTTTCTTTAAAAGGGAATTAAAAAAATCAAAATAAAAAGTGAAAGTCACAAATTTCTCCTTGGAAACAATAGTCCTCCCAAATCTGAAAGTACAATATATTGCTCTCATAACTGTTTAATATAACATAAAGGTGATTGAAGGAATAATGAAATGTGTACAAAGTGCCAATCTAATAAGCACCGTATCTTCAAAGGTTGAGGTACAACATATGTTAATAAGAAACTCCTTTGATGATCTAGGATACGCAAAACCCTCCACAAATGCTCATTTCAAAGCAAAAGAACCCTAACAGTTTTAAACACATACAGTCTCCAGACACTGCTAGAAACCTAAATCACTTCAAAGTAAATGTGAAACAAAAACTGAACAGAGGTTAGTGTCTCCTTGGACATTAAGTTTCTTTTTTGTGTGTTGTGGAAACATTAGAAGAGTCTATAAATTAGGCAGGAAAAATATAGTAACAGCAAGATAATATTTTTACAGTTTCACTGATATTTTTTTTGTCCCACTTGCTTGGAGGAGGACAATGCATCAGCAGAGTGGGATTTCAGCCATGAGATTAGTCCAATCTGCCCTGCAGGAGAAGATTTCCCAGTTACACCAGTGAGTTTTGGTTGATAAAACAAACACCAAGAATAAAATAAATTAATAGAAGTCTCCAAGCTTTTCGGCACAGTCAAAAACTCTACTCACTTAGTATCACATAATGCTAACTAACACTGACTGTATTTCCTCTTCTCCAGCTACTGCCTTGACTCATTTACCAACAGGCTTCCATTCTTACATTTTAGCATGATATTCCATAGCTCATTCTACTACCTACAGACACACACACACACTATACCAGTAGCATGCCTGCATGCTTCCATTTTCCCCCTCAGCTGCTTAATGAATCTGCTAATCTCTCTCTTCCTCCAGCAAAGATGCTGCATTGTGACTTTACAATTCTCCTACTGTTTTTATCAAGGACACACTTACTTTTCTACTCACACAACTGCTCTGATCACAAAGATAGCATACAGTTATATTTATCTTAATAATTCATTTAGCATTCACTATAACCTGCAGATGATTAAGAATTCATATGAAGTTCATGTGAATGTCACAGGTACTTCCACATGACTTCCACTGTAATCCAGCATATTTAAAATCCAGTTGGCACCATTATTTGATACAGCTACCAATATCTGAGAAAGCAAAGTGCTCCTTTTGCTATAACGTCTATTTTGAGACAATGCCATAAATTGTCACATGACATGAAAAAAAGGTAACATATGTATAAGCACTCCACATAAATACTCTGGTCAGGAAGCATCAGAATGAAAGACAAGTGTAATCTGATTTTTTCTTCCATCTGTGTACTCAGAATCCCTTCACACAATGAAGGAGGGAAAGAGGGGGAGAAGGATCTGTTTGAAACTATTTTGATCACTTGAGATAATTTCTGAACAGGAACACTGCTCTGTGCTTCTCCTTCCATATATTAAGGGATGAAAAGATTATAACAATACAACAGTCAATCTGAATTTCATTAAAATATTTTAGATTAGTAATAATCAGTGCTAATCCCTTTCACACTTCACCACTAACACTTTTCTGAAGTCAGCACAACTGTGTTTAAATCACTGCAAAATCAAAGATATTCAGTCCACACAGATATCTACAGTAATGGAATGTATCAATTATTCTAAATGTAGTGTGAGCTCTAACAAATATTATCCTTAATGAGAGGCTGCTCTGTTTCTAGACATTGCTTACAGTGACAGCTACAGTATGAACAATTTAACACTAAATTTGAAACTAAAGCTATTTCTGTGCTCAGTAAATACTATTACAAGTTAGACAGCTGGGGCTAGCCCCATCTCAAATTCATTGTGGCTCTGGGGACATCAACAGGAGTCCTCACTCTGGTGTGTCAGTAGTTCTGGGGCACTTCCCTCGGGAGATTTCCAGCTCTGGTAACAGTTCCCTTGGAAGGGAACCATTCCTTCAGCATGGAGAGCACTTCACTGAAGAGCTGCAGCCTCCCTCAGTACAGGGCACCATATACTTTTCTGGTAATTTTGGCATACAGAGGTTTTTCTCTCCTGTTCTGGGGTCTGGTGTGCAGCAGTTCATGGCCACCCAACACCACCACCTGTGGCAGACCCACCAAACACACCTGAGAGCAGATGGTCTCCGGGGGAGACAGTCTAACCAGGCCCTCCCCACTGACCCCCAAATCGCAGGACAGCACAACATCCACAAAACAAATGGCATGACAAAATAATCACGACTGTTGATAGTAGAGAGGCTTAGAGTAAAATTTCAAGACAGTTTCTGTCTCTACAGACTCATTTTTAAAGCGCCTGAAAAAATTATCCATGAGCAGGCTGATAAATTAGGGAAATGTAAAGGTCACATTGATTCTGAAAACTCACCCTTTGAGCCAAACTATTTTACATTAGTGAAGACTTACACTCTATATATTCTGAGTAGTCTGCATTGAGAGCAAATTGTGTTTTATTTTGAATAACTGCTTGTTCTTGGCTGAGATAATTGTGGTTCAGCAGTAGCAGCACATAAGTCATAATCTTTTATCACTTTAGTGCCATCATTCTCCTTCTCAATTCATCTTGATGTATAATAGGTCTCCATACCATTATATGATTTGTTCCTTCAATTGTTTATACCTCAGTAGAGCACAACACATGTACTTGAGAACTGGAAGAACTTCAAGGGCCTGATTCAGAGCAGCAGTGAGGTATATGATGCTACACCCTCAGCTGAACAAAATGAGCTCACATAACAAAATTTCTCTACCAAGAATCTAGTCCCCATTTTGCTACGTGAGAGAAAAAATTTAAATACAATTATGTGAACTTCATCTATTATTTATAATTTCTACCTTAAATTAGCATTTTTATAACGCTCGTATTTCTTCCTCTAGGATTAGGCTTCATAACAGTCACAATGATGAAAATTATGACTTTTCAGAAAAGGCAAGTCAAATGACGAATGTGCGAGGAGGGAGAATTTCTCTAGAATTACTTTTTTCGTTTCAACTCTCCCAGCCGGTATACCTCACAATTTCTAATAAACAGACCTTTGCACTAAGCACACTCACAGCTGTAAGACCCCTCCACTTCTGGGGGTGCAAGCTCCCATATTTACAGATAGTGCTTGTGAGTGCCCCAGTGCTGCCAGTGTCAAAAGGGATTTAAAATGCTGCTTTGTTATCATGTCTCACTCCAAGGTCCCTCAAGATTGTGCCACACTTTATATGCAACTTTGATATTTCTTTTCAAGGTACTTCTTCATTGTTTCAAAAGCCTTTTTGTAATTCCCAGGTTGCTCTTCAATCTGGATGATGGTCATCATCCTATTGAGCAGCACTGATATTTCTGCAAATCCACTCAGACAGTTTTGGTTGTTCCAGTCACACAGAATTACTCTCACACCACTTCTTGTCAGCTGCTGTTGTCCAGGTCAGTGTGCAGCCCTTTTCCCCTGCCCCCAACAGGGCATATTACTATTTAGCTCAGAGGTGGAATGAGCATAGTATGAGAGGAAAAATTACTTGGGAAAGAAAGGGAAATGGGGAAAGCCAGGGAATGGATCAAAAGCACAAAAATAGTTGTTAGTGTAAACTCCATTGCATTGTATTATTCAGCCCTAGAATACATAGTATCTTCTCATAATTAAATAAATCAAATATAAATTATTTATAATTAAATCCTGTTATTCAGATTATAAAAACACATCAATAAATGCACTTTGTAAATAAAAGAAATATAATTTTTTATCAAGAAGAATAAGAAGAATTAAGAGACTGTATAAAAGCTGCATTCATTTCACTGTCTTCTTTACACCAGCTTCATTTTCTGGTTGAATTATTACACTCCATCATGTTTCTTAATGAAAATCAAGTTCATCAGTCCTGGTGCTATGTCATCTACAGTGTTAGGGGAATGCTTTTTCAGTAATAAAAAGTTTTCTTGCTAGACATAAGTGGGTCATGTTTAAGTGTATAGTATATCCAGTACAGATCATATAAAAGTAATTTTTATGAGATATATTGACTCTGATAACTTGGCCTTTGAGGACAGATTTGGACTGAAAGGTCTTTTTTGTTCCTTCAGTCTGTGTATTTTGATTGGATCTTGTAAAAAAAAGGTAGCTGAAGCCAGGATGAACTTCTATTAGTCATCCATGTGAGTATATCACACACTAATCACTAGAAGACAAAAGAGAGGGAAAGAAAAATGTAAGCATTTAGTTGAACAATTACCATTACTGAGCAATTCTTTAATTACAAACAAAAAAAAGTTATTTTTGAGCCAGTGTGTAATTGATGTTTACAAAATATAGAACACTGTTTTCTGACTCACCTCTTCTTGTTATACCAGGCAGAAGGAAAATAAGATATATTGTGTGTAGGTTCTCTCCAAATGTACTAATCATAATCTATGTCTCTCATTTAGAAGAAAATGTGATGGGAACAATCGTAGTGACTTATAACCCGTCTGATTACAGACCAAATTTTCTATCTAAGTATTTTAAAATATGAAGCTAATGGGAATGTAACAAAGTTTGCTGTCGCTATTGCTTACAGAGAAAAGGCCTGACACAAAGTAAAATAAGTAAGTCCATTTTTAAGCAGTGTAATAACTGCACAATTAAGCATCTTATTTTAGTGGTGCCATAATGACAACACTGTTGCAACTGTGATTAACAGTGCATGGGTCTAACAAAACTACTTAAGTCAGCAGAAAAACTTCTGTAGACTTTTGTGGCCTTTCAAAAGAGTCTGTTCTAAACTCAACCAAATTACTATTGTATATCAACAGAGAAAATATTTTCTTTAGTGTCATCAATTATTTTTACTCTGATTTCTAAAATCATAACATTATGACAAAAGAAACATGATTTGGTGCATTTGCTCAAATATGCAGTATTTTTAAAATTACCCCTTAATAATTTATGACTTACCAAGGGAAGATAAAATAATTGATAAGCAAGTATTTTTAGAATTCTCACTGAATATTGGGCATTTCTTAGTCCATATGCTGACAGTGTTTTCAGGGAAGACTTGCTCAGAATGCTTATGATGTGCTTTGGTTTCAGTATTCAATCATAATCAACAATTCCTGAAGTAGTAATAGTTCAAAATGGCCCCAAGGCCCAATAAAACAAGAACTCCTGAGCTTTGTGACCTTGATCTTTAGAAAAGGTAAAATGTTCAAGACTGAATCTGAACAAGAATGTTGACAAGATGCTATTAAAAGTTTTAGAATTTTTAAATATAATGTGTAATAACTTCGATAAAAGGCTCTTTACTTTATTGCAGAATTCAGTCTCCCTAATTAGATGTAATTTGATCTAGTTTTCAGTACACAGTCACTAAAGAAACAAGATAAATGCTGCAGGAAATGTGGTATGACCTTTTCATTATTGCTTTGTCAGGACATCTGTCAAGAGACTTTTCCTCCATTCCAAGGCAGTCAGACATTGCAATGAATGGTATTAAGGTACAGCTTGTTCTTGGTGGGATGCCAGATTATGTTACCAAGTAAGATTCATAATGTACTATAATCAATAAAATATCAAGATACAAGGTACGTAATAAACCTAAATTAATCTTTTGAAGTAGTAAAGATCAACAATTCACTGCACATTTGAAAGGAAGATATGAAAAGACAGAAAAAGATTGCATTATCCACATCCCTGCTAATATTATCTATGATTATATTCCACAATTTTTATCATACAAATCTATTTCTGTAATGTTTTTAATAAGCAATTTCATAACATCAACAATGAAAGGCAAATGAGAAATGGTGGCTCAAGATTTGCAAAAGAAAGAATACACAGACTGACAGTTTTCTTACAAAAGGAAAAAATTGGTTAGATTTATCAAATTCTGGGAAGTGTAATAGTTATCGACAGTTTTTAGGAAGCTGCTAAAACTATTCTGTCATTGTATGTTAAAATGAATTGTTTCAGAGACAAAAGAACCATGGTAGCCTCACAAAAATTAATAACCTTTTTCAAATACTTGTTATAGAGTAAAGAAAAAAAGTGACAAGCAGAGAATGTTTCAGTGTGCATGCTTACATTTTCTAGTCTCTTCATATTACTTCTAAGGGAATTGCAAAGAGTAAGAAAAGCACAAGAGACACGTCAGTGGTATTGACAAGTCCTCTCTACTGGGAATGTTTTAGAGGCTTGGTAATCAAAACCATCCCGGGTATAGAACAATCTAAAACCTAACAGTAATTACCTACTGCAACAATACACTCTTTGACAAATAATTACCATTTATCAGTAGCCATGTCTTTATTCACAGGAATATACAGTTGAAATATTTAGAATGTTCTTAAACTTTTTACTGATAATTAAATATATTTCCATTATAGTTGTCTTTTCTCCCGGTGTTTCACTTAACCTGTTACATCTCTCATTTAACTAAGCTTCCAATCTTGTAACCGATTATATGCAGAAAGACTGCTGAACCCAAAACATGTCCCTCGGAGTCTTTCTACCAGTCATTCTGCAGCTGGGGTATAAGACTCCATTCTCTGGAAACTAAAGGATCTCATGTAAGTTTCAAGATTTCTTTCTTTAAACGAAAGAAAAAAAAATATTTTATAACTTCTCATTTTAGTTAATACCTTCAATTTGCAGAGCACATAGGTAATGGGGCATATTTAACAGAAGGCAGCCAGTTATTGAAACACTGTGGGTTCAGTCTCATTATTTATGCTATCACTGCAATTTATATAGCTTTTTGGACTGCAGAGACCAAAGGCTATATAAATAAGCATAAGTTAATATTATAAAGAACAATTCCAGGAATTGTCAGTCATGTTTATTAGTATATCAGGCAAGAAGGCAGGAAGACTGCTTCCCAGAGTGATGTTCGGTGCCACTGAGCAATGACACTATGATTTAGCAAATACTTCCATTCTTATTTAATTCCATACAATGTTTCTAAGGCTTTCCAATTCTTCAGTCTGCTTATTCCCACACTCTTCTGCCTTCTTACAAAGAAACACTCTGGGAGTCATGCTTAGTTACAGCTCAGCAGCCTGGTTTATTGTTGTTCTCTGGAATTGAGTCATGCTTGGACATGTCCAGTTACTATTATTTCCTTTAACTTTTCACACAGTGAATAAAGCTGAACTTGGTTTGACTAAAAAAGTGGAGCTAGAATCATGAACATTTGTGAGGGATCTTACAGTGCAGATCCCTAAACCTGGTTTGGCACTGGCAGAAGTCACCTCACCAACACCATGACCTCCAACTAGGAAATTGTAGGTTTTCATCAAACTTTGTGCACACAACTCTAACTATCAAGAATGACCAGCTCACTGACAGCTAATAACATGCAATTAATAAATCATTAAGCTGCTCCAAACCTTATTTGTTCTAACCCACAAGTTGAGCGGTTTTCCCTGCGACAGCCTACCTCTCATTTTTATTGTAACAGAGCTTTGCTCTGTGTGCATACCCAGAATATGACACAGCAGAAACTAAGAGGAAGATACCTACACTATGTCTCCTTACTACAGGTATCGATCCTGGCCTGAAAATTGTGCTAATAGATCTTATTGCTCTGTACTTGTTTCTAAACATGCCAGCATACTCCCAGTTATGTGCTGCTGAGGTTATATAAGCAAAGGAATGAGCATATAGAGGAGCTCTTCAAGATATCTGGTCTTTCACCAGGACCCTTCTAGTTTTTTAAAGTGCTCCTTAACAGCAGTTAAGCTCTTAGCAAAGCAGGTTCCAACAGGACTTACAACTAGGTTAAACACATTACTACCTTCAGAGAACCAAATAGACATCTGAGGTCACTACAATGAGGAAGTGAAACAGATTTATTTCCATAAAATTTATTTAATCTACCAAAAAAAAGACCTTTACGCTCCTAGTGAAGCTAAGCAGATTGATAAAAGGTGGCGTTTATAATAAACTAAAAAAATCAGGTAGAATAACTGTTGGCACCACAGTTGTGGTATACAGTTTAGCACTGGTACTGTGTCAGTGAACACTTTACATTTAACCAGCAGCAATCTTTGAACCAAACAAGAAATAATAGAGTTCAGGTGAAATCTTCTAAATGTAAATAATATGGGTCAACTATAATCATCCTTTTGATCTTGGAATATAAAGACCTGCCTAATAATTCGCATTCCTCTTATCATTTCTAATGTTCACCTCTTTCCTATGCAGAAGAGGGTTTTTTTTCTTCAAACTTAATCATATTTTAACTAAAAAGCTATAAATATGCAGTGTTTATAATCACATTTTTATGAAACACTGGAGGAATTAAATAATAAAAAAATGTAACTCAAATCACTTCTGTTTAATATTTATTATAATTTAATGTAGGAGTCACTAAATTTGAATTTGCAAAATATCTTATAACTTGTGTTTTATCAGTTAATGTGTAGTCTGTATGTGCTGATTTATTTTTTTTTTAGGCTTTTCCCCTAAAGTTAAAGTGCATAACTAAGTCTGGACAGCTTTTGATTACTTCCTAAAGAGGAATAAGTAACTTACATAAGCCAGCGACTACAAATTTCATCTGAAAGGACCACGTACAGAAAAAATCTCACACTAGATATAAGCATTTAAATTTAAGGGAGATTCAGTTAGAAAATAAACTTTGAATAGAGAGTTGCTGCACAGTCTTTTTGATAGTTGACTTTCACATTATACTAGAAGAACTTTCTCAATGACACCCCTATCACTAACATCGTCCCACTGTAAACACGAATTTCTTGGCATGGTATCTGAGTATATGCAATAAACCAATTAAGACAAAAAATATCTCAAACTAAATATTTGCTTTAGGATATCACAAGTGCCCCAAGGGCCCTGAAGGCTGATAGTACTTTTAATTAGACATTCCTTCAAGTTTAGATGTTGATTATAGCCAAACTTATACTCTGACCAGTGACTTTTTCACTAGAAAGAAATTATATAAGTAATTGTCATGTTTGCAGATATATAAAGATTGAGACAAAGATTAATGTAGTGGAATAATGATGATGAAAAGCCACCTTTATCGGATGGTAAACTAGGCACAAGTAAAAAACATTACTCTTTGTTATTGGCTAAAATAAAGCTTTATACATAATAAAAGAATATATATAAAAAAACCAGTTCATGTTCTTTAGGGATAGGAAACTGTACTGGGAAGAAGTGATATCAAAAAGAGCCCTGGGAATCACGAGCCTAAACTCGCAATGACACTGCGGTAGAAGGTGCTCAGCGTAAGCTTTTACTGCATACTTAAAACAGCTACATTGTGTCCCTATTTACCAGGATAAAATTGCTACTGGAATAGTGGCCAATGTCCACAGTGAAGAAAATGTTGCAGAAACTCGAAGGGTTCAACTGCAAATGTCAAGGAAGGTTTGGAAAACCTGCAAGACTGAAGCATTTTGTTGTATTTATTTTACTGCAGACGGATGAAAGACTAACCTAACAATAATGTATAAATAACTGCATTGAGAATAAAAGGGTAAAGAAATTCAATCTCCAGAAGTTCTTACTTTTTGCTATTTAAACTTAACATCAGAACATTTTGGTTTTCTACTTTTTTTTATAGGACAAGGGGGAGAGACTGATTAATGCTAATACTGCAATTTATCAACTGACTCTTGGCCAGAACTTCTCTGATAATCTAAGTAATAATACATACATTACTGCAGTTTGCCTTTATCATGGCGATTTAAATTACTCTCCCACAGCAAGTGCAAGCAACAGAGTGTATTTTTAAATATTTTTTAATAATATGCTAATTTCTATAAGCAAAAATGAACTACCAGTATAACACTTGTTACATACAGATGAGTATTTAAGGTTTGTTCCTTATTGAAACATCCTTTGGGTCATTACTTCAAAATTTTATAGTAACAAAATCAACTTTAACCCTTGTAATTTCAAAGATTTAGAAAATTAGACCATATAATTGTAGTAATTATAAAATCTATGAAGATTACATAGATGACCTTATACTCCAAAAATTTTTTTCCAAAACAATGAGTTAAAACTTTTTATTGAGAGGGATTTAACTGTCTTCATGACTCCACTGTCTGACTGTTGACTGGATTTCATAAGAGTTTAAGCTAGGATGTAAAAGATGAGGCACAGTATGGAAGAAAGAATTAGGCTAAGAGCAACAGTGACAGTTCCACATAAAATAAAAACAAACCAGAAGAAATAAAATTAAAATTAAATGGAAATTGAAACTACTACAGCTATGTAACAAGAAATAAAGTAACAAATACTGTAGGTTTTTTATGTAGTGAAACTTGACACTAGATATCCAAAGTAGACTTCATAAAACAAAGGCATTTACTTCAGTATAATTTCAGATGATCTTTAAGTATGGACCTCTTTGAAAAAAAACCTTCCATCTAGTATAATACCCTAGTTATCCATTCATAATTGTGATTCTACAGCACACATGGAAAAACAACCATCCTGGAAGCATGGTCTAACATGACTTGGAATAGTGCACACTAAAAAACCAATCATAAGTTATTGATCAGTTTGAGTCCATCCTAATTACAATGAACAAAACTATTGTGAAGGAAGTAATCTCATCAAGTGAGTAGACTCACAGAAAATCATCAGTACCAATAAACAGCCAGAGTTTCAATTACCTGTTACTTAGGAAACCTTTTCGTAAAAGGAAAAAAAAAATTCAAAGCCAAACAAACAAAATCTCAGCAAACAAAACTCAAAATGTCAACCACAAGAGAATTTTACCACAAATATCACTGAAGTGTTTAAACTGCCTTTTTGAAGATAAGTAACTCTGATTGTGATACTGCTTTTTGGGTTTTTTGGACTCATTCTCTACAACTGAGAAGTACACCAAAAAATAAAACAAAGAAAATGCTTCATAATTTGTTTTAAAAGAAATTTATAAGAATATATAGAGGAAAGAAGCATCATGAAATAATATTATTGCAACTTACTCGAGAATCAAATATTACAACACTTCCTCCTGCAATGTGTCTATTTGGTCACATTTCCTTATTGCAAAATGTCAAAGCAGAGCTGTTGGGAAAATACTTCAGTTTAGGATGATGTCAAAATAATTACTTAATATTCAGTTGATTATTATTATTAAATATGTCTAACTATCCTGAAAACAAAAAGCAATCAAAAACAAGGAAGAAAACACACTGGACCAATATTTCACCTCCAGTTAATTGAAATTTTATCTTTTCCTCACACAGACTAACACTTATGGAGATAAGAGCTGATATTTTTAAATGCTTTTGTTAAATTCACACAAACTTCTTTCTACTTTCAGCTTTTAGCCTTAGGGTGCAGGCACCAGGGAACATCTAAGAGAACTGAGAAATCTCTTATTTTTGATGGTTGCACAAATTTTTGACCATGATAGCACCTCACCTCCTTTCCCTTTTTGCTGTGACAGATAAGCCTAAAAAATTTCAGTTTGAAATGGAAGATAAGCAGTAAGCAGCAAAATGTTTGATGCTTATTCAAAGCTTATCTGAATTGCCCATACTTCCCAAGACCAGAGAGTCTCATAAGATCTACAGTTCTTCCAAATTCTAGATAGTTCAGAAGTACCAGGAAAATTGTTTTTAATCTCTGTATGTTGGCACTTTGGAGACTTCAGGTAAGACCTACAAATGCAAAGCTAAAAGTAACAATAATGATATAAAAAACAAAACAAAGCAAACAAAACAAACAAACAAACAAAAACCCCAGAACACCCCCAAAGTAAATTTATACCTTTAACAGCTGTTTGATTTTTGAGGACTATTATCACTTTTATTTTGGGACCCCTCAGCTGCCATCCTATCCTCAATCATGGGTCATCAATATGACTGCCCTGAACACAAATGCTGTTAGTCACATCACACAGTTCTGCATCTCCTCAGTTTATTTTTCATTTAAAGAAACTACTTTTTTACTGTAGCAGCAAATTATACACTCCAAAAAAATTTAGCTCTGGTATGGGATAAAAGGCACATACAAAAAAGAAGTTGCCCTTAAAACAATAATCGGGAAGTAAAAAAAAAAAAAAAAAAAAATCATTGTAGGTTTCATCAGAATAATTAATTCTAGTTTTAACATTTTTGCTACAGAAAAATTGGAAGGCATTTTCAAAATAAAACAGTAAACCAAATCAAGCCACACTGCATTTTCAACTGTGCTCCTGAATAAAAGAAAGAAACTCCTAACTTACAACTCCAGCCATTGCAGGCGACCACCCTCACCTCAGCCTAACATGTCCTGGGAGAAAATGACTGTTCTATAACAAAACCAGCAAAATCCAGGCTTACTGACTTGCATGAGGCATCATGAAACCTGAATTGAGAATGCAGAGGAAATAGGTTTGCCTATGGCAATTGTACTGCACTTGAAACACTTGCTAGCACCTAGTACACATCCTGAATGTCCATGAGTCAGGCTTAGATTTTTTCAAGGTACAGAATTATTACATTCTCTTTACATAGAACTTTCCCTCATTTGGAAACTGTCCTAGCACATCCTGTTAATGTGCATTTCATTAGGATTTAAATGTATTCTAAGGTACAGTCTGTACTGCTCCATTTGAAAAGTCAAGCATTTTTTATCCTCTAATCACAGATGATTTTGGCTTTGATCACTGCGTTAGTATCTAAGAATGTCCTGGAATTCAGAAGGACAGAAGCCAGCGTAGAACTTCCACACAGACAATGGCATGTTCTCAAAGAACACATCTTCTCCCTTCTTCATTTCTACTGATTCTCCCACCCTTGATTTTTCCAAAATCAAGAAACTATGTCTAAAATTTTTGTATTTTATACCTTCATGATCTATTTACCAATGTGGTTAGCAGTAATCAACCCCAACTTCCCCTCCACCTTTATTTTTAGCATTTTAAGTACTTTGTGATTATTTAGAACTGGATTACCCAATGAATTAAAACTAAATACGTCCACTTGACAAGGTCTTTGAAGACTTAAGCATTTTTTCCTTCTAGAGTAATGGACTCCAAGTACTGAAGCTGCAAGCTGCCCCCATGTCTGAGTATTCCAGTTTCTGCCAAACCATATGGCACATCTTTATTTAAATGTTAATGATTTTCATGTTCAGCATGAACTCTTTGAAGTAATGCTGCATTTGTCTTTGATACAAAGTAGCCTGATATAAAATAGCTTAATTAAAATAGTTTGATATGAAATAGCTTAATTAAAAGTTAATTCAATAAGTTTTCAATGTGCTGTAACTATAATTCTTGAGCACCAAACTTTCCAATCAGGACATATTTTTAATTGGTAGAAGTGTTGCAGTAGTTTTAGGAAATCTTTTTCAATTAATTTGGAAGCGTTGTTCCAGTTAGTAGAATCAATGCCTCTTGCTATTTATCTTCAGGGGAATGTTTTGTTTCTAAGCAAATTTAATCCCAAAGGACAGAAAGTTGTACTTCAGCAGGCTCTCAATATGTTTTCTGTTTGAAATAATTGCAAATGTGCTGGTTGCTTTTAAAGCATATAATATGACTTCAACTTCTGTGCAAAAGTCCGTGAAAGACATTTTGGATATACGATTTCCCAGGGGAAGCAAATCCATTCTTTGAACAGAAATTACATCAAGACTTCCATGCAAAAACTTATATACACTGCAGTGCTACTGTTAGTCTGACAGTACCTTAGTGTTCCTGTCATGTGGTTTGTTTGTCCTCATCAAAGCTGGACTTCATTGAAAGTAAGTGACAGTGTTCTAAATCAACTCTCAGCAGGTGGTCACGTCAAGAAAAGTTTTTAACGAGCCTCCCTAGGTATCAGTAACAGGAGTTATCACTACATCCCAGGAAGAATAACATACTTACAGTCAATTAGCACTTTTGGCAATGTAGCATAAGGGTTGGTATTTCTGGCAGCAACATTATCCACAAAACAACATGCAATCTACTTCTAGAACTAAGTGTAGAGCACCTTCTTTACAAGTGACCTAAATGCAGGACTGTTCTAAGAGACTGCTTGTTTTTCTTCAAGAAGTGCACTTGTTCTGCAAACTAATATACAAGTTTGAAATCCCATCCCACTGGATCCAAATTTCATTTGGTTTCTAGACCTACAAGAAAATGCTGTGTACCTTTCTGATATTTCACAAAACATTTATGAATTGACTTTCCACTAAAAAGTATCTACCCTGTTCAACCAGGACAAGATAGTGTCATTTAGCAACTTACTTATCCCTGATCAAAAAATATTTTGCTAATAAAACAACAAATCCCCCAAAACACTCTGATATAGGCCCATTTCTTCTCTATAGCACAGTTCTTTTTTCCTTTGGGAATCAAGCCATTCCTTCATTTTCCAAAAACTACATTTCATTACCATTGGTGTAAATTTAGGTATGCCTATTTTCCTCCCAAACCTGAAAAATCAAGGTAAAAGCAGGTTCACATACAAGCTCAGCTTTTCCAAGTTTATGTTCAGTCTGCAGAATCTTCACTGACACCCAATGGAAGTTCACCAGTCACCCACGTAATCTTTTCTCAGACTTTGCCTATTCATTTTCCTATCCCCAGCCTTTTCCTAATTTCACAAGCTTCCTTCTCATATTCTCTTAGCCCTTTACTTATCTCACAGATCGTGATTCTCTGATCATCTCAAACCACAGAGCACTCACTAAGTTTTTTCTCCCTGGAGGCTGAACTGTCAGTCCTTCGTTGTAGTATCTGTGACACTGTTACAGATTCAAGCAATAGCACAAGCTGAAGTAACTAACAGTAGAAATCCAAGAAAATATATCACTTAAGGAAGACTTAAGAAGTTTATCTCCTCTCTCTCACATGTCATGGTGAGATGACAGTGATCCTGTAAGGTGTTCAAGCTGATGCTGTCAAGTGTAAAGCATTTACTGTGTAATGATTATTTAAAATGACCTGCCATGCATCTCCTTCAAGAAAAGGTGAAATGAGCTGGTGGAATACAAAACACTGTACAATGATCAATGAAGAAAACTCAAAAGATTGGTGACTTGTCAGGTATTATTAATTCCTTAGAACTAAAGAAAGGATGACCATATTAATTCATGAATAATTTATCTGAAGATAAAACATTTGGAACAATAATCAACCAAAAATGAGTAGCTATTCTGAGCTAATTAATGTCCCTATTTAAGTATTGATTGACAGTCTTGCATTAGCAGGCATTCTGCAACAGATAATCCACAGAGGGCAGTTAAGCAAGAGTTATGTTGCCTCCCATTTCAAAGCTGTGTGGCTTTTCTCATTTGAAGGTTTTTATATGCATGAAGCAGATGGATTATCTGATAGTAACTTATGGATAGCTGTAGTGTTTCTACTCATAGCACAGTCAGTAACATATATAAAGTTACTGTAAAAGCTTTTTCAGTAAAGAATGCTACAGGTTTAACACAACAGGTTCTAACACAATGCATACAGTTAACATTATATTTGTCTTTCAAGGAAGAAGTGGTACTTTTCCCCTCTACCTTTTCAAGCCCAACATAATTCAGTAAATCTGTATCCCCTCAACGTTGTATCACAGTTGTTGACTCTTGTTTCTTCCCCATAAAAATTAAGATAGCATACTATTTGGAAGAAATATTATCTACACTTAAACCACCACATCCCAAAAGAGAAAACAATCAACATACTGAAATCAGGTTCAAAGTAAGTAACATACCTATCTGTGTAAGTTACTCCTCTGAGGAATTTCATTATACAGAACACACTGGGTTAGAATATAATGAGCTATAAGGCAAAACATAAGAACTTTATTCTACTAGTAGCACATTAGTAATAATTAATAGATATTATTTGTTATTGTTTTATTGGGAAAGCATTGCATCATTCATGTATTTCACTCAGTTGAGATGTCTGCCTCTTCCCACTCTGTTTTCTTTCCTCTCCTTCACATCAGAGTAGATTTTGGTGCAGCAGCATAAAGGCACAGGCAACTTGGGTATATGCTACCCATTTCAAATTATTACTTTCATTTCACTGCTTTGCTAAATGCAAATAGCAAGGACCTGAGGAAATCATTAACAAGATCTTATTCTGAATTTTGGATGGTAATTGAGCATATATAGACAGCTAATTCATTACTCATTTTTCTAGGAATTAAATAATTCACCATTTGAATTAAGCCATTTGAAATCACTTCACTAGTTAGTTCATGGAATGTTATATTTAATCACTATCCATTCAGCTATGATAGCCAGCTTTCATTAAAAAGGGAGGGAACACATCCTACCTCAGATTATGCAACAAGACTTGGTTCCATCATTGGGTTTAGGACTATGTATAGTTCAGAATGACTGTGGGCTACAATGTGAGAAATCAAGCAAATAGTTCTTTTAATTATCTGTATGAGTGGTACAGAGACACCAGAAATACCTGCAGGTGGTCAACAGCTGAGGCTCAGAACTGTTTACAGAAGACTTTTTTCTTTCTTTACCTACCAAGGCCTTCTGAGAGCAATATGTCTATTTGTCAATGTTGCATGTTACATGCATACGGCTTTTGGATTTTGGACCCAATGTGACAAGTACAGAGAGCACCAGTTCTGATCAGATGGAAAGCCACGTCCTCAGCATGTCCCTGTAAGAGTAAGGTCTTGCTGTGTGTGCTCAGTGAATGGGAAAAAACTCCTGGAATAGGAAAGAACCATGTGGTCTTGGCAACCCACAGTTTTTTTCAGAACATTATCACTGAAGTTTTGAAATAATTCTTGCATAGTCAGATCCCTAAGTTTTTTTCCATGAATACAGGTTTTGGAACCATGAGCTAATAGCAGTTAGAGATAGAAAAGGCTTGGATAATCATGTTAATAGAGAGATAAGGATATAAAGAGTTATGAAATTTATACTCTGAATTATATGTTCAATTCATATATTCTCCCTAGTAAGATGCTAATTTTTTCAATCATCTAAGATACACTTGTTTCATAGCAAGAATACTAAAAATGAAGTTTCAGAAAATAGTATATAAAAATAGCTTACTGTATCACCTAACACAAAGTTAACAATTTCCTGGTTTTAATCTGAATTTACTATAGATGTGAATAGATGGAAAGTCAATGTATCTTAATGGACATGTTGACTCATTTATGGCCCAGTTGGATTTGAAAGCTGTCTGTGGTTTTTATTTTCTTCTGGTTATGTTTGGAAGGGTAAGTCAATCAAGCACACTGAGGAAAGTATTGATCTCTTGGGGAGATTACTTTTCAGTGGGCTGAATAACTTCAGGAGAAAAAAACCCCTAACAAAAAATCTTAATGTTTTTTTAGTCTCTCAAAACTGACAATTCTGCAATGCAAGCATACAAGAAATTGTTATCTAATCTGCAATGCTAGGTGCTACTGAATCATATTTTTTAATTCCAATTTACTGATTCTAGGGGTTTGTTTGTTTGTTTTTAATCCATAAAATGTCTTCCTAGACAGAAGACATTTGGCAAGCATTAAAAAGAAAGGGCATGGTAACGCAGGAGGTGGGGATACCAGATACCGTTTGTAACTGTTTATTTTGGGTTTTTTTCCTGTGTAGAACTATGCTTAAAAGAAATGTGGAAATAATTGATCATTAAAGATTAATACTGTGGAAAATTACAGTGTAAGATAGAATTGCATTATTTATAGAAAAATACATTAATTTTCAAACTTTGTTCTGACAACTACTTTGCTTATGGATTTGGAAATCGAAATTGCACTCCAGTTTGGCTTCTGCACTGTTATTTACTGTCAGGATTACAATCCAAAAGATATATAGCAACAACATAAAGAATTAGATGAGCACAAAACAAACATGCAGTAATGAAAGATATTGATAAAAAACTACCAAAACCCCCCACCTCTAACATTTTTTAAGTTGCACAGTATCTGCCACATTTGCTATAGCTGTGGTAGATGCTGTTTATTACAGATGGTAATAATAAGAAAGTGAATTAACTATATTTCACATTACTGATCTTTCTTTAGCAGAGAGGCCCATTTTGCACAACCTGAGCACTTTTTATCATGCAGTTATCTCACAGATACATTTATAAAAAAAAGAAATTAAAAATATGTGTGATTATTCCTGGCAACAGACACAGAATCTAACTTTGAAAAGACAAAACATTGCAGATATCTAGCATCCCATTACTTAGAAACTTAGATCTCAAGCTAATATCAACATAGCCTTTTCTAAATTAAAATTCTTCCTTATTTTCTTATAATTTAATGGCAAAGAAGACTTTCCTGGCAAACTACAGGGTGGCAGCCAACATTCTTCTTTTCTTTGACTCTAGGGAGTCATTCAGATGAACAGAAAAATCCCTCAACTCTACATTAGGATCCTACAGAGATTTCAGTAATAGGTTGTCAACATTTTCAGTTTCAGCAATTACCCAAGAGATGAATTCTTGATTAATTAACCAGGCTGCTAATTTACTGGAATTGTCTTATTGTCCATATGTTTAGCACTTCCTGTAAATGAAGAAATTTTTCTTTTTATTTTTTCCCTTTCCTTGACAAGTGTTAATCAATTTCCATTCAGATTTAATTTTATTTAACTTTAATTTGTGCTTGAGAAGATCTTCTCTTTTACTGAAATAATTGTTATTTTTTTGTGAAAACACCAAGCCACATTCCACAAAAACAAAGCGCAATGCATCCTCTTTGTTTCCATTTATATCACTCCTATAATACAGCAAAATAAAGTCTTAATTTAGCTCAGTTATATTTCCCTAAGTATGTTATCAGCATAAGGCAGTACCTTTACAGAAGGGCTTGAACTGACAGATTTCATTGGCTAAAACCTTTTGCACCCAGAGCATCAGGTTCTTGCATGAAGAGTATCGAGTTCATTCCCTTTGGGAATGAATGTCTCTTTTAAGACAACAAAGCTACTACTTCAGCCACAACCTGTTAGATCACAGGCTGGTACCCTCTGTGATGACCTGCCTCATTCAGAAGATCAGATGGAAAGGAAGAACCTATTCTGACTGATGTTTTTATTGGGAGGCACTTTCCCCAGTAATTTTAAAGCACAGAGCAGATTCCTAAACCTTCATAAATAATTAATGAAAAAGGTGCTCTTTTTCACGTATTTGAGAAATATTTTCTTCTGGCTTGTTCTATGCATTTTCATCCTGAACAGTAAAAACAAACTATAAGTGTTACCTGTTCTTAAAATGAATATTATAAAGACTGATTTCTGCATTACCCAGCTACCAAGGCAGTGAGACAGATACATTTTCCTAGTTGCTTTTCTTTTTCTTCTTCTTTTTTTTTTTCTAATGGAATCATTTAGAGACATTGTATATTTGTAAGTAATGTTCCTTTCGTAAACTGTTGGAGTTTCCAAAACTCTTTATGGATTTCAGGAGCATCAGCTGTGCTCACTTTCACTTACTGGGATATGTATGGAGCTCACAGTTTTACAACTGTTCTGATCCTCTGCACTGAATTGTTGTACAGCTGTAAAAAATAACTAAGATTCATGTCTTGAACTGTACTTTGCTATGCTTTCCATAAGTCGATACTGGAAGTGAATTTTATATACAGAATGTATTTTTCTGTTGTCATGCATTAACAAGCCATACATAGCAAACACCCAAATGCCCAAGGCTTAATGTCTAAGTGTGAAACAACAGCGATTTTCCCCTCTAAATCTAGCTGAGATAGAACCAATATTAAACATTTTTCTACTCCTGGAATGAAAAGGGCAACCCTTTGACCATTGTAATATGTGCAGTTATGAAGCCATTGAATGTGGCCAAGAAATAAGGGAACTAAGTATTCTGATACATTTTCTAAAGTGCCTAATGAGGGAAAGATCTACTATTGGCCATCTATCACTAGAAATTCTTAAAAATACAATTAACAAATGATTTAGTACAGCTCTGCCAGTAACTTTACAGAAGTGTCATGCACCAGAATATTTGAAATAAATATTTTTTTTACTTCTAACTAAAGTTAAGGAAATTTGAAGAAAGCTTATTTGATCTTTTATTAGAGTGTAACAGCAAACTCTGAGCCACTCTGTAGCTGTACTGCATGAAGACAAGCTCTAAAGCAGACTATATTAAAAAAAAAAAAAAAAAGACAGACACTTAGAAATACAACACTTTCATCAAAGACCTCAACTGAATACAAACCTCTGTGTTTAAGTCATTAACCACATTACCACTGTTAATTCTTGCTTTTTTTGTCTTAGATCCAACAGTGGACCTCTTACTTATTTGTTTACTTTTAAAGCAAAAAAACCCTAGAAATAGGCTATAAAAACCGTTGCAACTCAGCGAAAAATATTGCTAATGATATTATTAACTTAGGGAGAAACTGTTCTGTACACTATACCTTGCTGCAGTTCATAATTGCCAGTACATATCTGTTTTTTACATCTTCACTGCAATAAAAAATTTACTACCATTAAGAATGTAATTTCTATATTACATACAAAATCGTCAGTTCTAATTGTTGTCTAGCTGCCTGGGAAATAGAGGCTGTTAATATTCATGCTGGATTATAAGCTTTTTATACAGCCTAAACAATTTATTGTAATGAATGTTTCAATAGGTGTGTGATATTGGTTTTCAGAGGTATTAAATTATTCAAATTCATTGGAGTCGATATGACCTTAATTTATTATATTGCATTATTATAATGTAATTGCTTTCCCCATATTTGGTATACATCTTAATTGCTGAGTAAGTTCTGTGAGCTTCCCACAGTGCATGGCACTCAGCTCAGGCAGTAAATGCAAGTG